CTGAAGCCAGAGTGCCTGGGTCAGAATCCTCGCTGTACTGATTACTAGCTCTATGAGAATCTCTGAGCCTTAGTTTCCTCCTCCTTAAAAATGGGGACAATAATAGAACTCACCTCATGCATTGAAAATTAAGTGACTTACTCTAGCTACCTTAAAACAGTGCATAGCCTGTAATTAAGTATTATGTATGTTTATTATTTTCTTGCTTGGATAGTCTGTGGATATGTTGGTGGATAAATCATCATCTATTTCGGTAGTGCATGGAATTCCCATTTCTTTACCTTGCCTGCCAGGTGAACTCTCATTTATTTTAAAAAACATATGTCAAGTGTTATCTCCTCTTTCAAGCCTGTGACTATTCCAGGCAGAATTTGGTCCCTTCTCTGTGCAAACATGTATATTTTGTATCTATCTCTTAAAGCATTGGTCACATCGTTATGTAATTTTTTTGTAGATATGTCTCTCTTGCTTTCTAGTCCATGATTTCCTGTACCTGGTACACTTCCTGTCACATAGTAGATGCTCAAGAAATGTTAGATGAATGAGTGGCAGTACAGAAATAAGATTTAATTTCTAGTTCATTTATTTTCCATTATTTTTCCTGAAATCCAACGATATTAGAAAATGAATCTAAAGCTTGAGATAAAAGCAAAATTAAAACTTCTGGAAAATTTATTTATTCCATATATATTTATTGAGGTTCTACTGTGTTCCAAGGACTGAGCTTAGGGCCAGATGGTATTCAGTGAGTAAAACACCAAAAGGGTGCATTATTAACAAATTACTCGGAGCAACAGGCACCTAACCATAATTGTCCCGGACAAACTGGGAAATTTGAACACTTCTTATAGGAAATTTATACTGCAAAGATGAAAGTCATCCAAAAATAACCCTAGGAGTTCAATCTAGGTTGCCTGGACAACAGGTTATCTGGAAAAAGATAACCTGTTTATCTTTCTTTCACTTCTGTGAAGCACTTATGTGTTTCACATAAGCTCAATTCCCACAGAATTGATGACTTTCTCCTTCTAACACTGGGAACTAGAACATCTAAGGTCCCCAGGTGTTGGTCAGGTGGCCTTCCTAGACAGCTCCTGTAATAGCTGGCTTCCCAAATCCAGATTTTCTGGCATTAGGCAGACTGTTTATTTTCCTACTGGCAAAATTGCTTTCACACTTTTGTTACAAGAAGTGAGACCAATAGAGAGGATGAGGTATCTCCATTGGCATACAGATGTATACTGCTAACCTAACAGTGCCCAGGTCCCTCTGTGCAGTCATAGGAGGGTGAGGAGGAGCCATGCTTCCATTTCTGTTGTGGATATAGAAGTTTTCTCTTACTCCAGTAAAACCTGTTCCTTAATGCAGACCATGTGATATTATAAAATTTATCTTGAATTCTGTTGCATGCAGAAGGAAATTTAGAAGAGATTCTCAGTATACAGTATACTATGAGGAGTTTATATTTTGTGCAGTTGCACTGGGAAGACAGTGAAGTGTTTTAAGTAGTGGAGTGGAATGATCTAATTTACACTTTAACAGGATCATTCTTGTGGCTGTATGGAGAATGTATTATGGGAGAAAAGATTAGAAGTAGAGGAATGGGTTAGGAGGCCATTGAGCAGTTCATATGAGAGATCATGGTAGCTTGGACCACGGTGGAGGCAATGGAAATGGAAAATCGTCCATGTTAGCCACATACAGAATGGATTTATGCATATATAGTTTGAGGGTGGGCCTTTAGGATCCTGATAAGATGCTCACTTAGACTTATTACTGGCCATTGTGCATTCTCCAGGTCAGGACTTTAAGGGACTTGGAAGGCTGCATACTACTTATCATTTTATATATATTGCTGATCTCTCTGCTGTGTACACTCAGCTCTACTGACTTCCTTCTGTGTTCTTCAGATTACTGAACTTTGATTGGTATAAATGGATATTATCTATGATTTGTCTTGATGTCAGTCCGAGTGTACTCCTGATGTTTATCAACACAATTGTCATGCAGATTAGTATCAGAAGCGGGAATGATGCAAAGACCTGGACCATGATGTCTAAGTCCTTGTGGAGAAAGTGTCAAGAATAATGAAGGAGTGGAAGATGATCTCAGAATGCCTTGTTAGTCTGCTGATCTGTGTTTTGAAGTGTATTCTCTCAGCTCACTCTCTTCAGGGTCTCCCAACTGAAAAATCTCAGCTATGGTCAGGAGGTCCCCTCCTCACAGGTCTCTCTCTCTCTCTCTCTCTCTCTCTCTCTCTCTCTCTCTCTCTCT